TTGATTATGTGGGCGTATTCATTATTAGAGAGGCAAAAACAACTGGACTGGAGCTTATGTAAATGTAGTAGAGGCGAAACACGTGCAAAAAGGAAAGATTGTACATAATATGAAACAGCGTTTGTTTTCTCATGTATAAATACCGGAAGTAACTATGTATAAAACGATACATAACGTATAAGGTTATAACGTACTCCTCCGGCAAAAGGTTATCCGATCGCATTCTAAGATTATCAAAACAATGTATTGTAACTTAATGATCGTACAGGTAAATGAAACACGAAAATAGACTCTATCTCCGTCTATCAGCTTCCATACAATTACCTGATCTAATTATAACAGATGATGCAGTTCAAGTCTTCTGAAAGGAGGGGCCACCACACAAAGACATTAAGGGCAACAAGACTAGGATTGGAGGTAAAAATACCAGGTGAAGGACTAGGGGCGTTAAGGTCATTTTCGGCCTCATCGGGGATTTAGAATTAGTTTTTATATTCGTAGTCTGGAATAAATGAAGTACGCAAATATGAATTTTCAAATTCATTCGGCAACCTGTTTAGGAGATATGGCATTACAAAGAGAGACATAAACCTGCTTTTTCATGATAAAGTGTAGGCCGCTATTTGGTTAAAAATTGGCCATTTCGAGGAAAATTAACTAAACACTCTTCAATTTTTGAAAGCCTCCGCGTGCAGCAAACAAATAAATATTTGGCATGCTTATCCATTGTTATACCAGTGTTAATTCGCAGAACGGACGTTTCGTTTGTCACATGCGGAGGCTTTCATTTCTGCATGCTAACTGTCCAAAATCTCCATATTTTGGCTATTCCTGCATAGCAACGCAACGCAATTTCATTGATGTAAATGAAGCCGCCTTAAACCTTCTTTCAACTAGTCAAGGGTGAAATCAAATAGATATAGGAGGAAAATCCAAAAAAAAGCGTGGCTTAGATTAATTTCGGGCACACACAATGGTGCTGTGTGAGCAACTAGGACAACCCCTGCATCCGTCACTGGAACTCTGGTAATCATAAAATAGGACAGAGTTATGTTAAAAATAGCGTTTGAGATATTCCCTAACGTAGTAGTTATGCTCGACTTAGTACCTGTGTTTTTTCTCAGTCTCCTCCAACATGACTAATGCCTAGTTTAAAACGTCATATGTACATCAACATTATGTATTCGTATGTCATCTACTCCATATGTTAAGTAGTATAACGAGAAAATCAAATCGGTTTAAAGTCTTCCCTACCAGTAGTCACGTGTCTCAAAAGGCAGTAGTTAACTGAGTAGATGACTGATTTAGGAATTGATGCATGAATACATAAATTGTATGAATTGACTGAATGCATGAATGAGGACATAGCTGAAAATTTGTATTAACTTGTATTGCTTAGTCGTTTATCCTCTTTAAATAAATAATTTATTATTATTATTATTATTATCGTGCCATGCTTCATTTCATTTAGAACCGCACAAATACTAGCTCTACCTTTAAAACAACCTATCTGGTGCTTTCTCCCCTCGTACACATATACTGACACACTAACTGCGGGCAACCGCACATTCGAGGTGACGGTATTTTTACTCCTGATGTTGTGCGACTTCAAAGGATATGACATGTCTGTGTGGAGGAAGTCAACGTAAAATTTCATTCATATCAAGTGCAAAGTGAATAATAACACATGTACACAAGCCACGAGGCAGTTGTTGTAGGATAGTATACTGTAAGTTCAGCAGACAGCAAGCTTTCTTATACGACAAACCTTCGACACAAAAAGGAAGAAAGAAAAATTACCCATAAGTATACGAGTTTGTGGATTAAGCAATATAATTCAGTACATTGAAATAGCATATCACTTACCTAAGTAAAGAAGATCTGTAAAAGGAAATCAGCAAAACATAACATTTCAGACAATCGAATTTCATCAATTTTGCGTTATTTGTTCAATTTGGGGAAATAGCCATGTCTAACTTGAGGTTTTCTTTGAAGTAAATTATTAGGTTTCGGTTCATTATATTTTTGCTCAGAAAAAAAGACTTGTGATGATTTTATCAGTAATTCCGACGCTAATTATTTGCTATCTGTGTAAAAATGTAAACATATCACTCACATGTTTCGTACCAACGGAATAACATCAGCGGTGGAAATGTATCGACAGCGAATATTAATTCACCCTATACTATATAAAATCACTGAAAGGCGAAAGTAGTACTGGGCTAAGATAGATTTTCCCAGTGAAAGGCGAGGTTTTCAGTGGGCGCGAGTTTCCCGGTATACATTTTTTCGTCATTAGTGATGAGATTGTGTTGACATCCTGACTGCTCTTAATCTCGCTTTTGCTAAGCCACTTGAATATCAGCGGATATGTTTGATGGCTACCTTCCTGTCAGTCTCTAACAAATGCAGGATGTTCGGGACAATCTGGACTATCATGTCAGCAATTATGAACTTGGTGTGTTTTTGATGAGTCATTGACAACAAGTCATTGAACATTTTCATGTTGCAACTTAATACTATCCTAACGGACACGTGGCCCGGCCTTGTTAATACGGCGGGAAGGTTTTCCCTATATATGTTCCTAAGTAATATTTACATTCTCATGCATCTCATTCATCATGCACAATATTGACGTATTTCATGCATGTTTTCGTCATTTTGTGTTGACGACTGACTACATATCTAGATGACTTTGTTCTCGTGGCAATAGTTTTTATCCCTTTTCTATGTTTTCCTGCTGATATGTCAGAAGCTGCGGTTTCTATCTAGTACTAATTTTCCTCAGACTCGAGATTCCAGTTGAAGTAAATTCAACAGGCAGTTTATTGATAATTCATCACGACAGGATATCCATAGACAAAGCACACATGTTCATTGATTTATTGATCTACTGTTGAGCTGTTCCAGGTGGGTCACTGTTCCGCATGAGTTGGTCCACCTCGATAGCAATGGTTAATATCACACTCTCAAGTTGGGTGGATAGTCTATTGAATATTTTCCTCTGTTATATACTGTAGCAGAGATGAATAGTCCAAAAGATTTAAATTTTCATTAGTACCTCTTGATTTTCTACTTTACAAGAACATTTCCGCCGCGCAGGGAGTGTTTCCGAAAAATTGCAAATCGTCTATTTTTTCTGCAAAAATGGCAAATAGATATTAATGCCCTGACAGCTTACAGCTTATTAGTACAGTACAGTACACTAACATTATATAAGTACAGTACACTAACATTATATTAGTACAGTACAGTACACTAACATTATATAAGTACAGTAAACTGACATTATATAAGTACAGTACACTAACATTATATTAGTACAGTACAGTACACTAACATTATATAAGTACAGTAAACTGACATTATATAAGTACAGTACACTAACATTATATTAGTACAGTACAGTACACTAACATTATATAAGTACAGTAAACTGACATTATATAAGTACAGTACACTAACATTATATTAGTACAGTACAGTACACTAACATTATATAAGTACAGTAAACTGACATTATATAAGTACAGTACACTAACATTATATTAGTACAGTACAGTACACTAACATTATATAAGTACAGTAAACTGACATTATATAAGTACAGTACACTAACATTATATTAGTACAGTACATTACACTAACATTATATTAGTACAGTACATTACACTAACATTATATTAGTACAGTACAGTACACTAACATTATATAAGTACAGTACAGTACACTAACATTATATTATTACAGTACAGTACAGTACAGTACACTAACATTATATTAGTACAGTACATTACACTAACATTATATAAGTACAGTACAGTACACTAACATTATATTAGTACAGTACAGTACACTAACATTATATTAGTACAGTACAGTACACTAACATTATATTAGTACAGTACAGTACACTAACATTATATGAGTACAGTACAGTACACTAACATTATAAGTACAGTACACTAACATTATATAAGTACAGTAAACTTACATTATATTATTACAGTACACTAACATTATATCAGTACACTACACTAACATTATATAAGTACACTACACTAACATAACATTAGTACAGGATACTACACTAACATTGTATCAGTACACTACACTTGCATAACATTAGTACAGGATACTACACTAACATTATATAAGTAAACTACACTAACATAACATTAGTACAGGATACTACACTAACATTATATAAGTACACTACACTTGCATAACATTAGTACAGGATACTACACTAACATTATATAAGTACACTACACTAAAATAACATTAGTACAGGATACTACACTAACAATATATAAGTACACTACACTAACATAACATAAGTACAGGATACTACACTAACATTATATAACAACACTACACTAACATAACATTAGTACAGTATACTACACTAACATTATATAAATACACTACACTAACATAACATTAGTACAGTATACTACACTAACATAACATTAGTACAGGACACTACACTAACATTATATAAGTACACTACACTTGCATAACATTAGTACAGGATACACACTAACATTATATAAGTAAACTACACTAACATAACATTAGTACAGGACACTACACTAACATTATATAAGTACACTGCACTAACATAACATTAGTACAGGATGCTACACTAACATTATATAAGTCCACTTCACTAACATAACATTAGTACAGGATGCTACAGTAACATAACATTAGTACAGGATACTATACTAACATTATATAAGTACACTACACTAACATAACATTAGTACAGGATACTACACTAACATTTTATAAGTACACTACACTAACATAACATTATATCAGTTGAGTACACTTTTACAGTAAAACGTAATGGCTCACCTGGTCAGTACCGACACACACCAGTACACATACTAAGGATAGTAAGACTCACCAAGTCAGTACCGACACCACCAGTAAACATACTAAGGATGGTCTGACTCGCCAAGTCAGTACCGACACCACCAGTACACATACTAATGACGGTTCAGACTCAACTGGTCAGTACCGACACCACCAGTACACATCCTAAGGATGGTAAGACTCACCTCAGTACCGACACCCCCAGTACACATACTAAGGATGGTAACACTCACCTCAGTACCGACACCACCAGTACACATACTAAGGATGGTAACACTCACCTCAGTACCGACACCACCAGTAAACATACTAAGGATGGTCTGACTCACCAAGTCAGTACCGACACCACCAGTACACATACTAAGGATGGTAAGACTCACCTCAGTACCGACACCACCAGTACACATACTAAG